CACATACCTGGATGGGGGCAAAGCAGATCAAGGGCAGCCATGTGCCTCCAGTGAGCCCCAGCWCAGCCCAGCCCTACTGAGGTGCTTACCTGGCACCGGAGGGGAGGCTGGTGGAGAGCTGGTCATCGGCAGGAATGGTGTTTCCACAAGGGCTGCTGGCAGAGACGGGGCTGGGGCGCAGCACCTTCAGACCCACCTCCTGCCAGGCCTCTGGGTGCTGCCGGCAGACAAGAGGCAGTGTCAAAAGGCCTCACTGTCTGGAACTCCCCACCACCACCTCCCAATCTGCCAAAACATCACACTGCTGGCTTCACCATCTGGTGCTCACCTGGGGCTCATAGCGGATGACCACATCATACTCRGTGGAGAAGGGCACGTCACTCACGTGAAACTCCACCCAGCCACCTTCCAACATGCGGGCAAAGCCTGTCCCTGTCCAGGAAGCTGGACGGTCTGGGGGCGGCTCACGCTCCACTACCGAGCCCTGGTGCAAGCAGGTGTTGTGAGATGGGACCCTAAAAATTGCCTTGGCCAGTAGGCACTGCTCTGCCCTGGGTAGTGAGGCAGATCACTGCCTACCAATCTGGGGACCCTGCAAAGGGACACCCACTGCCCTGCTCTGCCTGATGTGCTCCTCAGGGACACCTTCATTCCTTACCTGATGCAGCCGTGCATCCTCAGCTTCGTAAGTGTAATGATCCAGGTTGATGCGGTAGAAACCGGGCTCCACCTGTTCACACTGTCGTCCTATCACRTGGCTGCGGCACTGGCACTGCCCTGTCCCCACGGCACACCTGGTGCACCAGCAGCACCATCAGCCCTGATGCCAGCAGGGATGCCCCTTGCCCTCCACATCCCCAGAGACTCACAGGTTGTTGCGAGMACCTCCCACATCGCAGTCGCAAGGCCGGCAGCCCTGGAGGTCATGGCTCAGTCCCCAGTGCTCGGGCTGCAGAGGGCAAGGCTGTCTGTTAGAGAGCAGCCGGCTGTGTGCTGTAGTCCTGAGCACTGTCCGTGGRCTCAGCCCCACTCACCAGGCACTGGCTGCAGCTGCGCCCTGTCACCAGCCGCTTGCAGAAGCACTCCCCACTGACAGGGTCACACCGGCTGCCATCAGCCACTGTGCCACGGGGGTCACACTGGCACCCTGCAYGGAGAGCCAGCAGTTTCCAGCAATGCCAAACCACATGCCTGACCCCAGGACGTGCCACCCCGGTACCTACGCTGGCAGCCCTGCGGGTTATCGGTGCTGAGGCCGAAGAAGCCGGGTTTGCAGCGGTCGCAGCGGGGACCAGCCACGTGCTCCTTGCAGCRGCACTGCCCCGCAATCAGGCCCCTGGCTGGGTCATCAGCACTGTCACACAGCCCACCATCCAGAGAGCCCTCAGGGTCGCAGTCACAGGCTGGGGACACAGGCACAGTCAGCGTCTGATCATTAAAGCACCACCCTGCACAGCCTGTCCCACACTAACCTCGGCACACAGCGGGATCCCGCAGGTCCTTSGTTGGGTCCTTGTAGTAGAAGGGCTTGCAGAGGTGACAGCGACGCCCCATGGTGTTGTGCTGGCAGCCATCACACACACCCCCACTGGTGTTCCCRGTGGCCAGGAACACGGCCATGTCAAAGTGGCACCGCCGCGAGTGCTCATTGCAATCACAGCCTGCAGGGACAGCACCGTGTCACAGCACGGGGCACCGCAGCCCACACCTGGCAGGCAGCACCCCCAGTGCCAAACCTCCCCTGCCTGGACTCTGCTTACTCTGATATGCAGCACCACAACCCCAAACCTCCCCAGCTTACAGCCTGCAGCACCCCAAAAACCTCAGTCTGCAGGATGCCAGTCACCACCCAACCACATCCCACTGTACAGCACCCCAAAACCCCTGGAACAGCACAGCCTGACAGCCCTGGCACTCACGGCGACAGGCGTTGGTGCTGGAGCCCTCGGCCGGGCGCCAGGGCAGGTCTTGGTAGAAATCCTCACAGCGCTCGCAGTTCAGCCCCTGCGTGTGGTGCTTGCAGACACAGCGCCCGTGCACCTGCCAGGATGCCACAGTGAGAGGGGCTGCGGGACTSGGCAGCACACCCACCCCRCTCTGACAGGGCACAGGGGGCTGGYTKGCCCTACCATGCCGTCGGTGGTGGCAGGGGCGCCGCTAAGCGGAGCGCACTCGGAGGCATGCCCGTAGCAGAAGCAGTTCCCGCGCATCACCAGCTCGTAGAGTGCGTAGTAGTACTTCTCCCGGATCTCTCGCCGCGAGTCCAGCAGGTTGTCCCCCAGCGTGTGCAGCTTGGTGAGGTTCACACGCAGGTTGGTGACACGCAGCAGGTCTATGGCAGGGAGAGASTCATGCTGGCACAGGGTGGGTGGGCACATCTGTATGAGCAGCTGTATGCAGCTCACCTCTGCCAGGCACAGCTGAGYTGGGCTGTGCGTGCCACAGGAGGCWGTGGGTGGTTCASAGGAGCTGGGCATGGCTCTGCCCTGTTGGGCATGGCTGGGATGGGCTGTGCACAGCGTGGAGTGTCTACGCAGGGCTGTGCACTATCAGGCTGTTGTGGTTTTCTGTATCACACAATATTGGCCCAGGGTTTTCTATATCACACAATATTGGCCCAGGGCTGTGCAAAGGTAGTTGCACGTGGCCAGGCTGGGCTGTACGTAGCTGTGGGGGTTCAGCTACCGCACACGTGGCTGTGCACAGTCTGGTTGCATGTGGGCTGGGCTCTGCACCCCTACAGCAGAGGCAAGCTGGGACCCCACCAGGGCAGAAAACACCCCTTGGCACAGCAGCTTTACATGTCCTGGGGCACTCACTATGGGTGGCTGTGCCCAGGAGATGTCTGTGCCTGGTGGGTGCAGCCTGGGGCCTGAGGAGCAGGATGGCTGCCCCAGAACTGCAGCTTCCCAGCAGCCCTGCCCTGCAGATTCTTCCCCTCCTGATCCCAGTCTAAATTTAGCCTTGGGTGATTAACCCACTGTGTCCTGTGCCCAGCCTGACTCCCCATCTYGAACCACAGTTGGTGTTTGGTTCAGCTGTAGCACAGCCAATCCCCTCCTTTTAACCCAATGCAGYCTGACCTTTAGCTGCTGTCACAGGGCAGGGTGCAGGAGTGGCCCAAAAACCCGCAGGCTGGATCAGGCCCTGACCCCAGTGTAGGGCCCAGAGCATGGAAAGAGCAGCCAAAATAGCTACACCCAAAATAGAGCAGCCAAGCAGGAGCCCAGAGGGCTGGCAACTCACTTTGGATGGCGGGGCTGTAGGGGTCCCGGATGGGGATGGCAGGATCCAGCACCCGGTAGATGACCTGGGAGGGACAGCAAGGTGATGAGAGAGTGCAGGGAGTCCCCTGATCCTCCTGGGACACTACCAGGACCTCACCTCCCCCTCATTGGAGGGCTCGATGTCAGAGTAGCGGGACTCGCAGACCACGTCATCAATGCGGCGCGGGGCCCCATGGGGGACGTGGGGAAAAGAGGCAGCRCAGTCATAGGCGAAGTAGCGATACACCTTCCAGGTGCGCCCAAAGTCAGCCGAGCGCTCCACCAGCATGGCCGCGGGGCGGAAGGTCTGCAGGACACCCAGGTGAGSCAGGGGCCAGCCTGAGGAGCTGTTCCATCCTGTCCCGTCCCAGCCCGGGTACCCACATGCTGGGACCCACCTTGAAGGTCATGATGAGGTGGGTGAAGTGGAACTCAGYCTCCAGGTCCAGCTGGATGCTGACGTGCTCCACACCTGGGGATGACAAGTGTGACAAGTGGAAGCACCCACTCGCAGGTCCGGGGGGCTCGTCCCGCCACCCGGCAGTGGTCCAGGGGTGTGGCTGCAGCCACAGGCTGAGTCACACTTCCTCAGTGTGGGAGGAAGGGAAGGAGAGCCCCCCGGGACTGGACAGGATGCCCCACCACCCCACCCACTGCTCACCATTCTCCGACTGCCACCAGGCTTTCTTGGGKCGGGGGGCAAAGCTTGTAACCACGTTCTCGATGCGGTGGCTGTTGCTGTTGGTGCGAGCATCGTAGGGCCGCCKCGAGTCGCAGATGAAGCACTTTTTCTCCTCCTGCGAGTTGCGAGGCTCAATGATGTGTGCCCCCAACCCTGTCCCGTGCCCCTCATCCTCGTCCGGTCTCCCGGGCCCCGTCCCACTCACCTGGAGGTGGCTGACGATGCAGTAGGGCTGGGGCCGGCGCAGCCCGCAGGTGGAGGTGGCACTCAGGCGGGCTGCTCGCCCCACCAGCAAGTCRCCGGTGGCCGGGTAGCAGCTGCCGCGGGCACAGCCCTGGGGGGAATCGGGGGCCAGGGCCACCCCCAGCCCTGCGGAGCGGCGGAGGGCTGAGGGCGCTGCGGGGCGCGGGGGGGGCCGGGGCCGGGGCTCCCCCCGCCGAGCCCGGGGCCCCTTCCGCGGCCGCCCGGAAACAGGGCGGCGGGGCCGGGCCGGACCGTGGCGCCCACCGGCCCCGCTGCGGCGGGGGGCGCGGACTCACCGGCCAGCAGAGGCAGCAGCAGGAGGGCGGCGGGGCTCCGCTTCGCCGGGCTCCGCATCGCGGGGCGCGACGGGGCGAGACGGGACGGAAAGGGGCGCAGAGGGCGCGCAAAGGGGGCGCTCGGCAGGTGCCCGCCGGTCCCGTCCCGTCCCGTTCTGTTCTGACCCACCGGTTCCCCTCCTCGTTCCCGTTCCCGTTCCCGGTCCCGTCCGCCGCCCCGTCCCGGTCCCTCCCGGCCCCTCCGAACTGTGCGGGAGGCGCAGCGCTCGGGGCTGCGCGGAAAGCGCGGGGCGGATCCCGGCTGGAGCGGGGGAGCGGGCCGGCCGGGACAGGCGGGAGGAGGCAGGAGGAGGCGGGGGGGTGCAGAAGGCATCGGACACAGGCACACACAGTACAGGGGCTTTATTTGCAGGCGCGTCYGCACTAAAGGCGCCTGTGAGTTGGACGGGACCTCCGGGCTCGGGGAACTGCGGGGCGGCGGGGCAGGACCGGTCCCYGGGGCCGCCGGTGGTCCCTAGCAGGTGGCGTAAGCGTTGGCTCTCTCCCGGATCTCCTGCAACAGCCCGGTGACCTGCTGCTCCAAAGCCTGCAGTCGTGTCACCTTTGCAGCCATTGCSCGTTCATTGGCCCCAAAGCGCTGCTCCAGGTCTGCAGGACGGGGAACATGATGGTCWCAGTGCAGCCTCTCACCATGTCCCATATCACCCTCGGGATGCCCCGTGGGACGGGCCCAGGGGGACACAGGGAGTATGGAGAGGTAGCAGGGAATGCACCTCGCTGTGTACTCCCCCTCACCTTCCAGCTTCCTCTTGCTGTTGCTGGCCTTATCCAGGAGGTCTCGGGCCTCTGTTGTCAGCTGTGACACACGTTGCAGGGCTCCACCAGACACCCTGTCCAGCATGCCCACCTGGTTCTTCAGCACCACATAACGCTGTGTCACCTGCGCCAGGTCCTGGTGGCACAAGGGCATGGTGAGGCTGAGAAACCCCAGCACCTGGTACCTGTTTGGTGCCACATATACCCAGGCAGTGATGAAGCTCACCTGGCTAAGTGTCCCTGAGGTAGTGGTGGCACGCTGTGCCCCATCCTTGGCTTGCTGGGCCATGTGGCGAGCATCTTGGCCACGCTGCTGCAGGGCGGCTATGCGCTGTGCCAGCTCCCGCAGCCGCCTCTGCACCTGTGACTCCTTCCTGTCCAGCCCCTGCAGCCTGCGCTCCGCCTGGCAGGCAGGGACACCGGCTGCAGCAGGCACAGCACCCCCTGTGCCCATGGTGCCAGCCCCACTACCCTGGCAAAYGCATGGCACCTGCCCTATGCCATCCACGTTTCCCCAGCACCAGCCTCCCTACCCGTGATGTGCCCAAGGCATCAGTCTTGTTCTCCACAGCACTGATCCCATTACTCCCAGCAGCACCAGCCCCTGCCCCTCACCTCYCTGGCTCTGTTCTCAGCCCCACGGATGGCATTCCTGGCGCTCTGCAGGGTGCTCCCTGCCGTYGTCGCTTGTGTCCGTGCCATTTCCAGCGCCTGCTGTGTCCCCGCCAGCTCGTCCCTTATGCCTTCTGCTCGCTCTCTGTGGTGGCACAGGCAACTCCAGCCCCTGCTGGTGCTGGGGGACTGACCCTCTCCCTTGCCTGCCCCGGCATGACCCCAGCACTTGCCTRGCCTCCTGTCCCTGTGCCAGCAGCTGCTGTGCCGCAGCCAGCCCCTCCGCTGTGCTGTTGAGAACCGCRTCCACCCCGTCCAGCTGGCCGATGCTCTCCTGCATCTCCCGCAGCAGCTCCTGGATCTGTCCGGGGCTGCTGGGCAGGGAGATGTTCAGCACTTGCCGGGCCACCAGCTCGATGCTGCCCGGGTCAGCTCCCTCCTCTGTGGGGACAGAGGAGCGGGGTGGGCTCAGAGTGGGCTCGCTGAGTCCTGCCATGCCCRTGTGCCCAGCTGGTGCTGGCACTACCTGCCAGGAAGGCCTTGATTCGGCGGATGAAGTCCCGCAGCTGGGCCGTCGCCTTCTCTGCACGGCTGCGGGCAGCCTGCGAGCGCCCCAGAGCCTCCTCTGCCCGGCTCCGTGCCCCCCGGGCCAGCTCCTGCACCTCCTGCATCTGGGGGGCACAKGGCTGAGCGGGGGGTGCAGGGCAGCCCCGGGAGGGGGCATTTGGGGTGAACAGGGAGTATGAGGGGACAAGAAGGGGGCCTGCAAAAAAGCATGCGAGGGGGGGGTGCAAGGGGACAGAGGGTACAGCAGTGGCACAAAGGGACACACAGGTGGCACAAGGGGCATTTCTGAAGGGGCATAAGAGAGATACAGAGAGCTGACATGCTTGGGGACATGGAAAGGGAGCAAAGAAGACATAGAAGGGGATCATGCAAAGTGTTACGGAAAGGGCACAAGCAGGACATGCAAAGGGGATGCAAGGAGAACCCAGAAAGTGCCATGGGGCAACTAGCCCTACCTTTTGAGCCACAACACCYAGCTGCCCTAATGCCACCTCCAGCTGCTGCGAGGCATTACGGGCGCTGCTCAGGGCTCGAGCTGAGACAGGCAGTGCCCCCGTGCACCCCGTGCCACCGCAACGCCGTGTCCCCGCACTGTCCCGGCACAAGGCTCCTCCACAAGATGCTAGCTCACAGGTCTGGTCTCCGGGTGCCCCACAAATCTGTGACGATGMCAACGATGGAAATGGCAGCTCAACACTACATGGGGTGTGACCCCCGTGCCACCTCTGCCCGTCCTGCTCTCACCTTCTCATTGATCCTGGCAATGYTGAGTCCCATCACCCGTTTCCGTGCCTCCCGCAAGGATTTGCGGGCTGCAGCTGCACCACGGCGGAAAGCATTGCCCCGCTGTCGCAGCACCCGCTCGGTCTCCTGCCGTGTCCTCTGTGCCCCACTCAGCTCAGCGGCTGTGCCATTGGCCACCAGCTCCGCCTGCCGCGAGGCCTCCGCCGCCGCCAGGATGCTGCGGTGGGACTCTGCAGTGCGGGTGTCAGGGTTTGGCCRGGATGGTTGCCACCAAACCCAACCCTTGCTGGATGCTCTTACCGCTGAATCCGGCTGCCGCCACGGTGCCCAGGAGGGTTTGAAGGTGGGAGGCGGTTCGGTTGAGACCTCCCAGCTGGCGGCTCAGCCCAGCAAGCCGGTCATGRTGCTGCACATCTGCCTGCGCCAGCTGGGCTAGATGTTGCTCCAGCTCTTGGAGGTGCTTCCAGAAGTTGTCCAGCTCCATCCTTTGGGTAGGGAGGGGGGCTTCAAACTTTTTGGGGGGATGAGAAGGGGGTACCTCCACCCCAGCCCTACCTGCACACTTGCCTGGTGCCATCCAGCTGCCTGGGCAGTCCATCGAGGAGGGGACCACCGGGGTTGCTCCCCTCTCCCAGCAGCAGTTCCACGTGCCCCAGAGCCTCCTCCAGCTCCCGCAGGCGACGGGGGCTGAGTGGGAGTGTGGCTCCCCCCTCCTTCAGCACCTKCACCTGTGCCCCAAGGCGCCGCAGCCCATCCTGCAGGCTACCCACAGCCAGGTCCCAGCGCCCAAAGCAAGGGTGGCAGGGTGAGCAGTGGGGGAAGGGCTCCTGGTAGCCCCTCTGGCAGCGGTCACAGCGCAGCCCCCCGAATCCCAGCCGGCACCGGCACTGCCCRTTGTCCTGCTCGCACTGTGGACTCTCAGCACCCAGCGGCTCACATTCACAGGCTGCAGAGACAGTCGGTAGTGTTTCCCAGCCTTCCCACAGACCCCCACGCCCCCAGGCTGACATGTTCCCAGCATCCCACCATATTTCCCTGTGTCTCCAGAATTCAACCTATTCCCAGGATCTTCTATGTCCCCACAGTTCCACTAAATTGTCTGGGTCCCCTGAGTCCTGCGTATCCACAGCATGCACCATGTCCTCAGGGTTCCACCGTGTCCCCAGGATCCCACCGTGTTCCCAAGGTCCTCCGTGCCCACAGCACCCCACCATGTTCCCAAGATCTCCTGGATCTCTTGTGTCCCCAGTGTCCCACTGTCTCCTTAATGTCCCATGTTCAGTCTCCCACCACATCCCCCGGGGCCACCATGTCCCCCCACACCCCATGGCCCCAAAGCCCCTGCACCCCCAGCCCCTGAGATGTGCCCCCACCTCGGCACTCCTGCTCAGGGTTTCCCCAGTGGTGCTCCTGGCACTGAGAACAGATACGGCCCCCGAAGCCAGGCCGGCACTGGCACTGCCCGGTCACCTGCAGCAACAGTGACATGTTCACTGTGCAGCTCACTGCACCCCAGGAGTGCAGTGGAGCCATACCAGGGTRCCAGGGGACTCACTGTGTCGCAGGCAGGGTGCAAGGCGTGTGTGGGGTGGCAGCCACAAGGCTCACAGCCCCGCAGCCCCCCCAGGTTCCAGAAGTGGGGTGCGCAGCGATCGCAGCTCTTGCCCACGACGTTGGGCCGGCAGGCGCAGGCTCCTGTGCCATGGTCACAGGCACAGGTGCCATCGGTGCAGTGGGAGGCCASTGTACCCCGTGGGTCACAGCTGCAGCCTGCAGGAGGGTGGGCAGCCATGTGGGGCTCAGCCCATACCCCCTGCCCTGGCAGTGCCCTGCTGGCCCCAGCACCCCAAATCTGCTGGCCTCAAACCCATGCACAGCCCCAACACGCCTGAACCCAGCACCTCCACCAATCCCAAGCCCCATCCCCTGCCCAGCCCCAACCCAGGCACTGCCCCATAGCCTTTCTAACAGTTCCAAACCTCACCTGCCCCTGACATCCCAGCTCCAAGCCCCCGAACACTCCAAAATTCTGCCCAGCCCATCCCCAGACRCCCCACACCCCAGYACRACCCAGCACCTCATCCCTACCTTGRTCCCTTGCATCACAGCACCTCATCCCTACCTTGAGCCCTTGCATCGCTCCAACTCCCCCATCCCAAAGCCCCGCGCAGACCCAGCCCCGCAGGGCCCCCCGCCCCGCTCACGCCGGCAGCTGCGCTGCAGGGCATTGCCGTAGTAGCCGGGCTGGCACTGGGCACAGTGTGGCCCGGCGGTGTGGTACAGGCAGCGCAGGCACTGCCCCGTGCGGGGGTCGCAGCCCTCCGGGTCGCTGGCGTCGATGTTGTTGTTGCACTGGCAAGGCCGGCACACCCCACCCTCCACCTCTGGAGCTCCAAAGTAACCAGGGGAGCAGCGGTCACAGCGGGGCCCTGCAGAGACGAGGGGCTGTAGGTGCTGGGGTCCCACAGTAGAGATGGGGGGCTGTAGGTGCTGGGGTCCCACAGTAGAGACGGGGGACTGTAGGTGCTGGGGTCCCACAGCAGAGACGGGGGGCTGTAGCTGCTGGGGTCTCACAGCACCAGCTCTGGGGGGTCCCTGCTGCACGGTGTGGGGTCCCTGCCCCTCACCTGCGTATCCAGGGGCACAGAGGCAGACGATGTGGTGAGTCACATCGTCAGCATGGCAGGAGCTCCCGTGGTAATGCCGTGTGCCAGGGTAGCCGGGGCAGGGGCAGGGCCGGCACTGCTGCCCTGAGCCCAGCACAGGGTTCCCATAGTAACCATCCTGGCACCTGAAGGGACATATACCATCCATCATACACCATCCCACCATCCCATCTCATTCCATCATATTCCGTATCATCATATCTCATCCTGTCCTAACCTCTTCTATCCATCCCATCCCATCCCATCCCATCCCATCCCATCCCATCCCATCCCATCCCATCCCATCCCATCCCATCCCATCCCATCCCATCCCATCCCATCCCATCCCATCCCATCCCATCCCATCCCATCCCATCCCATCCCATCCCATCCCATCCCATCCCACTCCTATCCCATGAATCCTATCCCATCCAAGTATATCTATCCCATCCCACACCATGCCATTCCATCCTGTTCTACCTCATCCCGTTATATCCATGCCATCCCACCATTCCAACATATCCCATACCATCATATCTCATCCTATCCTATCCCAYTTTATGTACCCTATCCTACACCATGCCACATGAGGCCATGCCATGCTGTCTCCTCCCCCTGGACCTGGCTCACCTCTCACAGTGCCGTCCATCCGTGTGGTCGCGGCAGTGCAGGCAGGTGCCCGTCCCGGGGTCGCAGTTCTCAGCGTGCCCGTTGCACTGGCAGGGCCGGCAGGCAGGGAAGCCCCAGTGGCCGGGCTGGCACTGGTCACACTGCCGGCCCACGGCACCAGGCTGGCACCGACACTGCCCACTCACCACATCACACAGCCGGGACACTGAGCCCTCCGGGGAGCAGGCGCAAGCTGCAGGGTGGCACAACTCAGGTCAGGCATGTCGATGCAGGGACACAGGGRTGGAGAGACAGACAGACAGGCAGGGGACCAGCACCCAGAACATACTCCACGGACTGTGGCACCAAAAGGCTCATGTGGACACACAGGTCCACAAGAACATGGATGAACAGACAGACGAGTGAGTGTAAGACAGTACAGTGCTCACATGGGGCTCAGGTGAGAGGATGGATGGATGGATGGATGGATGGATGGATGGATGGATGGATGGATGGATGGATGGATGGATGGATGGATGGATGGATGGATAAGTGGGACTGAACCCATGGGATGCAGGATAGCAGGGCTCAGACGGACACATGCACAGACAGATGGACAGACAGAGAAGGGAACAGGGCAGTGAAGAAAGTACTGATGGCTGGACAGACAGAGAGGCAGAAGAGACAGCGATTCCTGGCAGATGCAGATCCCACTACTCACGACTGCATCCCAGGGGCCCRAAGCCGTAGCTGCCCGGGGCGCAGCGGTCGCAGCGTCGGCCGATGACRTGGGGCTTGCAGTCACACTGCCCGCCCTGCACCTGGCACTCACTGCTGCGGGAGCCCTGTGGGTCGCACTGGCACGCTGTGGGAGCAGGACCAGCATGGGGCCAGGGCTGCCCTGCCCACACCTGCCCCCACCGCCCTGTGACTGCTCTCCCACCCACCATGCCATGGGCGCAGGCATGTCCTGACCCACTGCCCTGGGCAGGGTTCCACCCATTCCCACAGGTTTCCCACTCACACAGTGCCCCGCCGTGCATCAGGGCTGACACACTGCAGACCAGGCGGGCGCAGGCTTGGGCCAGGGGATGAGGCGGGGGCATGCGAAACACCTCCAGGCACTGGTACCGCTCCATCTCYTCCTGGCGCGCTGCTGCCTCTGCCCCGTGGAAGCCCGGCAGCTCCGACACCCGCGGCAGGAGCACTAACTGTRGGAAGGGAAGAGATGGGGCTGGGGGGCATAGCCAGTCTCTACTGTGGGACTTACCACTGGGCTGGATCTATGTACTCCAGGACAGTCCCAATGCTGCTGGGGTCAACTGCCTCAGCTCCATCAACAGCCCCAGCTCCACTAAGATCCCCAACYCCATTGATATTCCCATATAAATCACCATCCCTAGAAGCTTCCTTAGCCCCTTCCACATTGACATCCCTATGCCAGCTCCAACTCCAAGTCCCCAGTCTCACTGATATCCCCTTCCCCATCAACTTCCCCATCAACATTGATATCCCCTTCCCCATCACCATCTACTTCACCTTTCCTGTTCCCATCCCCATCCCCATCCCCATCCCCATCCCCATCCCCATCCCCATCCCCATCCCCATCCCCATCCCCATCCCCATCCCCATCCCCATCCCCATCCCCATCCCCATCCCCATCCCCATCCCCATCCCCATCCCCATCCCACATACATCCCCAGAGGGGGCCACTACCCACTCCAGCCTGTGGTTCCCTGTCGTAACCCATCACCCACCCCTGCCAAGCCCCAGGCACAAGRCACAGTGGGACACCCCTCACCGAGTCGATGAGGATGAAGGCACCGGGGTGGCGCTGGGTGACACCGGCCCGCTGAAGCCGCATGGTCACCTCGTAAGGGGTGCTGGGCTCAAAGCAGAAGGGCCGGGACAGCAGCACATACCTGCACAGAATCAGGTGTTGGGACATGGGCACAGCAGGGCCATGGGGACCGCGAAAGGACAGCAGCAGGACCCAACCACCTTCCTTGTCCCCATCCCCAGCCCACCCCAGCTCATCCCACTCACCTCTGGCTATGGGGCAGATTCTCACGGTACATCTGYTCAGAGGGCAGCAGGTTCCCACAGCGAGAGCTGGTGGGCAGCACCCGGGAGCTGACACTGACCACGGCCTCCCAGTCCTCAGCTGACTGTGGTGACAGGCAAGGCAGTGTCAGAGTTGTGCTGTGCCATCCACGCCGCAGCCATGATTGTGGCCATGCTCACCTCGGGCTCGTAGCGCAGCAGCAGCTCATAGTCCATGGGGTAGGGCACGTTGTCCACACGGAAGGTCAGGCCAGCCCCGTCCCGCACCCGGGCGAACCCCGAGCCTGTCCACGTCACCATGCGCCCAGCACTGTCCCGCACCACCTCCTCCACATCCAGCTGGGCAGGGCACCAGCACAGCTTGGCTCTGGCTCTATCCCCTGGCCACCCCTGCCCTGCAGTGCCTCGCTGTGCCCTCTCCCACTGCCCCAGGGCTCACCTTGGGGGGCTGCTGGCGGCTGCGGCGCGAGGGGACACGGGGCTGGGGGGCACGAGGGGGGCTGCGCTGATGCTGTGAGCGTCCCTTCCGCCCCCCCGGCTCCCTGGTGTCATACTCCAGACAGTCCTGGGGCACCTCTGCACGAATGGCACCCTGCAGGGACGGGGTCAGGGGACAGTGRCCATGCACAGGAACAGCCGTGCACAAGGACAGCCATGCACAGRGCATGGTGACAGCCACATGCAGGACAGGGTGACAGCCATGCATAGAGCACAGCGACAGCTATGCATGGAGCATGGTGCACAGTGACAGCCATGCACAAGYACAGGGATCCCCAAGGACACTCACCGGAAGCTGGGGGTGGCTGGGGCCATGGCCGGTGGCCTGCTCGGCCTCATAGGTGTAGTAGTCGAGRGGGGCACAGAAGAAGCCGGGTTGTACCTGGTCACACTGCCGCCCCATGATGTGGGGACGGCAGGAACATGCACCATCCTCCATAGAGCACCTGGGGTTGACCATCCTGTCTCTTCATCTGTCCTGTCTGTGTCTTCATCCATCTCTACCTGCGTCTCTGTCCCCATCCCTCCATCTCTGGGGATGGAGATCCCTCTCTTTCTCCCTCTATCCCAGCCCCCATATCTCCCCAGGCTTGTCCCCATACTTCCCTCCAACCATGGGTGACCCCCAGCCCCGTGCCCACTCTCACCCCAACCTCATTCCCCTCCAGATGCCGTGCTGGGCCCCACCGATTGTTGTAGGCTCCCCCGAAGTCGCAGGCGCAGGGCCGGCAGCCCCCCAGGTCGTAGCTCAGACCCCAGAACTCGGGCTGCAGTGAGGAGGGGACACGTAGGGCAGGTGTAAGGCCAAGTCAGCCCTGGGGGTTGCCATGGGGTTGGGGAAAGTCAGGGCCACAGCCATGGTGTGGGGCAGGATGGGGCACTCACCACGCACTGGCTGCAGGAGCGCCCAGCCACGAAGCGTTTGCAGTAGCAGTCCCCACTGATGGGGTCACACGGGGAGCTGCCCGCCACTGTGCCCCGCGGGTCACACCTGCACGCTGCCCCCGTACATGCACACGTGAGGGCGTGCCAGTGACCACAGCCCATGTTTCATGGCCCTCCTTCCCCATTCCATATCCATCCATTTTCATCCCTTCCATCCCCATCCCTCCATCCCCATCCCTCCATCCACTTTCATACAACTATGCCACATCCCTCCATCCGACATCCTCCCATCTCTCTGTCCCAGATCTTTCCAACCTCACCACTCCATCACCAAACCTCTACCTCCATCCCTTCATCCTCATCCACCCCGTCCCCATTCCTCCATCACCATGCATTCATTCCCCATCCCTCCAACTTCATCCTTTCATCCCTACACTTTCAACATTCCCCCATCCCCATCCCTCCTCCCATGCCATCCCTGGGTCCCAGCTCACGCTGGCAGCCCTGTGGGTCGCCATGGCTGAGGCCGTAGGCACCATGCTGGCAGCGGTCACAGCGGGGACCAGCCACGTTCTCCTTGCAGCGGCACTGCCCYGCAATCATGCCCAGCGCCACRTCCGTGTGCCCRTCGCAGGCACCCCCATCCAGCGAGCCTGCCGGGTCACAATCACAYGCTGCCAAGAGAGAAGGACCATGAGAAGCTCTGGCTTCTGACACCAGGAGCTGTGGGGCTGGGGGCTGGTGGCAAGGGGATCTATAGGGCTGGGACAATTTATAGGGCTGGGGTCCCAGGACACTCACGGGCACAGGCAGTYGGGGAGCGGATGTCAGATCGAGGGTGCCGATAGTAGAAGGGCTTGCAGAGGTGGCAGTGGCGACCCATGGTGTTGTGCTGGCAGTCATCACACACACCCCCACTGGTGTTCCCRGTGGCCAGGAACACGGCCATGTCAAAGTGGCACCGCCGCGAGTGCTCATTGCAATCACAGCCTGCAGGGACAGCACCRTGTCACAGCACGGGGCACCGCAACTCACACCTGGCAGGCAGCACCCCCAGTGCCAAACCTCCCCTGCCTGGACTCTGCTTACTCTGATATGCAGCACCACAACCCCAAACCTCCCCAGCCTACAGCCTGCAGCACCCCAAAAACCTCAGTCTGCAGGATGCCAGTCACCACCCAACCATATCCCACTGTGCAGCACCCCAAAACCCCTGGAACAGCACAGCCTGACAGCCCTGGCACTCACGGCGACAGGCGTTGGTGCTGGAGCCCTCGGCCGGGCGCCAGGGCAGGTCTTGGTAGAAATCCTCACAGCGCTCACAGTTCAGCCCCTGCGTGTGGTGCTCACAGACACAGCGCCCGTGGATCTGCGGGGACCACCCTGCTCAGTGTGGCTGCCRGGWCCCCCAGGGCACTGTGYCATGCTGGTGTGTGCGTGTGCCTCACCATGCCGGGGACAGAGGGTGTTGGGGCGCCCGGTGCTGGGGCACAGTGGGCGGCGTGGCCGTGGCAGAAGCAGCTCCCACGCAGAACCAGTTCATCCACAGCATAGTAGTACTTGTGCAGCACCTCCCGCCGCGAGTCCAGCAGGTTGTCCCCCAGCGTGTGCAGCTTGGTGAGGTTCACMCGCAGGTTGGTGACACGCAGCAGATCTGGGGACAGATCACTGTCAGCACCTGCCCTGATGCCAGGCAGCCCGTGTCCCTGACCCCCCTGGCCACGTACCCTGTATTTCTGGTCTGTAGGGATCTGCCACGGGGATGGAGGGGTCGAGCACCTTGAAGATGACCTGAGAGAAGGAAGGGATGGGTGATCCCATTCCACCCAGACCCCTGACCCTGTTCTGCATTGCCCGATCCCCACGCACCTCCCCATGGCTGGAGGGCTCGATTTCGGAGTAGCGTTGGTCGCACAGCACCTCATCCACAAGCCCCGAGGGCTGGTTGGGGATTCCAGGGAAGAGCTTGGAGCAGTTGTAGGCAAAGTAGCGATACACCTTCCAGGTGCGCCCGAAGTCAGCTGAACGTTCCACCAGCATGGCCGCGGGGCGAAAGGTCTGCAGGACACCCAGAGGGGATGGAGGCCAGGACCACAACCCCCCAAACCCATCCTGTCCAATCCCGTTCCAACCCATCCCAGGCATCCATGTGCCAGACCCACTTTAAACTTCATGATGAGGTGRGTGAAGTGGAACTCGCCCTCCAGGTCCAGGCGGATGCTAACATGCTCCACACCTGGGACATAGAGAATTGATGGCTGAGGCTGAGGAGGACCCCCATGGCCCCACAGCCCCACAGCACACGCACATGGGGCAACCCCATGGCACCCTGACCTCACCATTCTCTGACTGCCACCAGGTCCGTTGGTCATGRGGGCTGCTCAGGTAGATGACATTCTCAATGCGGTGGCTCTCAGGCAGGGAKGGGTCACGTGAGTCACATGTGAAGCATTTCTCTGAGTCCTGTGCCAGCGAGTGACACCATCAGGGATGGGTGACTGCAGGCTGCACCAGTGCCTGGCTCTGTGGATCTATGCTGGGGCCGTTCTGGGGCCGGGTGGGCTCACCTGGAGGTGGCTGACAATGCAGTACTCCTGGGGCCCATCCAGTCCGCAGGTRGAGGTGGCACTCAGGCGGGTGGCTCGCCCCACCAGCAGGTTCCCGGTGGCCGGGTAGCAGCTGCCACGGGCGCAGCCGTGGCTCAGGTCAGGCTCCTGCCAGCCCCCTGCCTCCAGTCCCCCCACTGCAGAGATCATGAGGGCACGGGCTGTGGGCTGCGCCGGGGCGCCTTGGCACTCCCCACACCCCCATGTACCCACCCCACCCCCAGCCGTCCCATCCCGTCCCATCCCTGCATCCCGACCCACTGATGCAGCACGAAGCTCCATGATCCGGAAAGGTGCTGGCAGCAGCGCCGCGGCCTCGTGACCAGGGGCAGCGAGCGGGGTGAGTGGGGGGCTGGGCTGCCCGTGCTCCTGGGGGCCCGGGCTGCCCCAGGGTGCAGAGCAGTGCCAGGGGGAGTCGGGAGCCGGGTCAGGCGCTTGCTAATCCCGACAGGGCTTAGCGCAGCTTGGACTCCCTGCTGAGTTTTGTGGCAGTCAGGCCACGGCCGCTGCCAGCCAGGAAGCATCGCCATTGCCACCACCTCCACTGCCCAGCACCCGCCACCCAGACTGGGTCCCTGAACCACCACAGCTCCCAATACCGTGGGTACACAGAGTGCCCCCGAGACCAGTGCTTACCCAGGAGGAGAGCAAGCACCAGGAGGTCCATGGGCAGCCACGGGATCTGCCTGGTGGGACACGGAGATGGCACTGCAGCAGGGTGCAGGGTGCCTGTCGTCTCCTGGCTCTACGTGCAGTCCAGGTTGCAACCCCTACACTCGCATGATGGTGTTTCCCGGGGACAACAATAGGAATCTGGTCAGATGGGGCAGTTGGGTTTCAAAGTTCTCTGGGATGACATCCAGTGCCCACCTGAGTAGCCCTGAGGGACTGTCATACACATGCCCAGGCACACAGCCATGCTATGCTCCCCCAGACCTGGCACAAACTGTGCCATGACCCATCCTGCCTGGCTCAGAATGGATCTATCCTTTTGAGTGTCACTRGTGTCCCTGGGGTGTACCAGCACCRGGCCAGGGCCAGCCTGGGAGGGGAGCCAGGAACGCTGGAGCCGGCTGGGCGAGGGCGTCCCTAACTCTGGCCGGGGTCCCGCTGTTAAATTTAGGTTGGAGCTGCCTTTTGTGTTTCCTTCTCTCCCGGTACTTTCCGCTCCCAGCCACGAAAGTGCTGGATCAAAGCCTGGTCCCGGCTCTGCCCAAACACATCTCTCCTGTCCCCACACGGAGCCACCCCGGGGCAGGGGGGCTCGGGGCGGCGGGGGGGATCCGCGGCTCTGTCCTGGCAGCCGCCCCGCTCGAAGCCGTGCCAGGGCGGTGGGCAAGGTGGTGCAGAGCCACGTGCTGGCACCAGGGTCCCCGAGCCCCGCGAACCCCCGGTACCTGGCGTCCTGCGGCGTCCGGCGGGACCAAGGCCAGGGGCGAGGGCGGCGTAGGACTCGCTGCCCCTGGRCTGGGCGCGCAGAAATGAGCCGGGGCAAGGGCAGCGATGGGATGGCGGCTGGTGGCCCCCCTTCCCCGTGAACGATTCTTATTCAAATGGGCTGCCCGCTGAAAGGGACGGCGGTCTCCAGGCTACGGGAATGTCACTGCCGATTCCTTCTGCCTGGAGGCCCMCGCCGCCCGCCCGCCCGCGGAGGCCAGGCCGGCCAGGCGTCGGCAGCCCGGGCACGCCCCGGCCCCCGGGCGGCACGGTGGGCCCCGCCGGCAAACAAAAGGGCGCCTCGTGGGCTGGCGAGCCAGAGGCACCGCGTTCCCTGGGCTCCCGGCACGGCGCGGCAGGAACGTGCCTGGTGCCACCGGCAGTGAGGCGTGGGGGACGGCGTGGAGGGATGGGTGCCTGATGCTCCGGGAACCGGCGGGCGCAGCTGTGCAGGGATCGCTGCACCGTTCTTTGCCCCACCTGGGGATGTCCCATGGCGAAGGCACCTGCACGACGCTGCAGGGTAGAGCCCTGCAGGGGAACTGCTCCAGCAGGAGCTCAGCCGGGCGCAGCCACGATGCTGCCGGATGGGAACGTCCCACCCAAGTACCWGTCCCTCCCCACTGCCACAGCTCCCTGGGCAAAGTCCGGCACACGTCAGCCCCGGGAAGGGCATGGCAGGCGTGGGGGTACCCACCCTGTCACTGAAAAGGGACCCCGCAGCCCCTTCCTTGTGTGCCGCCTCATGCCAGTTGCCAGCACCCAGCYTGTGCCATGGGGCTGTACCGTATGCCTAGGGCTGTGCCGTGCCCCAGAGCTGTGCCATGCCCAGGGTCTCCCCTCCGGCACACCGACCCCTACCTGTGCCCGTGGGAGCCTGGGATGCTGGGCAGGTGGCTGGTGGCCCGGGTGGGCTGCGGCGTCGGGGGCCCGCTGGGCTCGGGCTGGGCTCAGCTGCTGTTCCTGGAGGAGGGCGGCCGGTGCCTGTCTCCTCCTCCGACAGCCGTGCCAGGCAAGGGGAGGGACCTGCCCGCACCGAGCTTTAGCCAAGGTGAGGCAAAGCAGGTACACGCGGGCGGTGGCCCACGTGTGACACAGCAGTGTCCTGTGCCTAGGCTGGCCGGGAGACGGCACAGCATTCCCACAGCAGTGCTGTGCCCGGTCGTGGAGCTGCTGAGACAGGCAGCCTGGCTGGGACTCGCCCCGCACTGCACAGGCCTGTCTGTGCCTCTTCGGGGCACATCTCCAGCAGTGGTATCGGAGCCCCGCACCACACTCCCCCAGCACCCGTGCCAGATGGGTCCTGYTCATGCCCAGAACTGGCACTGTGGGCACCACCATGCCCCACTCACCCTGTGCTGGTCGGTGCTGCCTGGGATCCTTTGGACTGGCCGGGTTGGGTGCTGAGCCGGCAGCCCTGGAGCCTGYGGGGAGCACGGCTGTGCACCAGGGCCGGGTTCCACAGAGCCCTCACTGTCACGCAGGGATAGTGCTTTTTATTAGCCGAGGCCGAAGGAAGGAAGAGGAACCGTGTGCTCTCCACGCCAAGGCCACGCTCTGGCCGCCCGCCGGCCAAGCAAGGTCGTGGGCAGACAAAGGAGCARCTCTCAGCCATAGGGATGCCAAAACCCATGCCCCCAGGGACACCCTGAGACAGCYAGGCTGGTCCCATGCACCTCCGCAGAACAAGAGATGCTGTGGGCAGTGCTCTGTCAGCTCCTCAAAGCCACGCAAGGCAATTGGAAGCCTGGAAGAAGGGCAAGGCTGTCCCCAGTGAAGCTCCCAGMACCGCAGGCTGGTGGTCAGGCACCACCACCACCTCCTCAGCTGGGAAAGCTGGCAGGAGACGAGCTGACAAAGAACCATTAGCACTGGCCAGCGTGTCTATGTCAAGGAATCTTGCCAAGCAAACCTTATCTGCTCTGAGGAGATCCAAAGAGGCCTGATAAAGGCAACTGTAACAGGATCTCTGGCCTTGAAAAGCAAAGTGAAAGCAGGAGGGAGGAATCCTCAGCAGGATGTGAGAGACGAAAAAGGCGTCCCAGTCCATGTCCAGGCACCTCCCGCAAGGCTGCTCTGACTTCCCACGCCAAGCTGCAATCCCCTCGTCTGCCCCAGAGCTGAACGCGTGGGGGTGGCCCGGCTCTGCTCCGGGAGATGGCCTGTCTGGGAACCCTGGCCAGAGATCGGCCAGCAGCTCTGCCCTCTGTCACCGCTGTTTCAACGCTGCCGAGAATCTCCCGCTCCCTCGGGCACCCAAAGCCTGGCTCCCCCAGCACCTTTCAGCAGCGCAGAGGGTCCCCCCCGCCACTCCCCATCCCCAGCAGAGCCCCTGAGCTCCTGCAGCAGCCTCTCACGCCTGGCCAGCCCTGCTTGGACCGACTTCAGTGCGCGCAGCAGGCAGCCAACACTTCCCTGAACATCCTCAGTGAGCGGAGAATTGCTTAACCACTTCCCTTCTCGAGGAATGAGCTSCAGCACGGCACTGGAGCTGCTGTCTGCCCAGGGCCACGGTCCCACCACCATTAGTGCTGGGTCAGTGCACTGACGGCTCTGTGGCACAAACCGGATCCAGACGGCAAACTGGGGAACAATGGTGCTTCTGTTGAATTAGCCGGCCAGAGGGTCCTGGCTGCAGTGGGCAGATCCAGAGAGGAGCCAGAGGGTGGGCAGGGAGGCTGGGGCTAGCAGAGCACCTGCCAGCACAGTGCCAACCCAGCATGTTTCTAGGAACTAACMAGGAATGCGGATTTATCCCAGTTCAGCACCAGTGGCACACATCCGGAGTATTTCCCACCCCAAAGCAGGCAGTCCTTAACGGAGTTTGAGTAATGTCAAAGCTCCGTGGGAGAACTGGGGAGAAGAGCTGGGGTGTGGTCTGCAGCTGAGTGTGCCCCATGCAGCATGCAGCARCTGGGAACATGTGAAATACCATTCYACAGGCTGGGAGAACGAGCCCAGGGAGGAGCAGTCTGTCACAGCCCAAAGAAAAGCTGGACACATTGGGTGGTTCTGAGCACCATTTTACTGAAGGGCTGGACACCTGCTAGGACTTCATAACAAAAGGTTCACTTCATTTAAGAAAAAGAGACAGTCTGTTTTTTGTCCCATTCCCTCCAAAGAGCAGAATAATACTAATGCTGTCTTTTCACTAAGCAATGCCATTCCAAAATATACAACATTGAGAGTGGAACAGCCCAGCTTCATATTAACATTAAATATTATTGGAACTTCGGAAACATTCTACACAAACAAATGAAACAGTAAAAAGTTCACTCAAGAACAAGATGGTCATTTGTAAAATCATCATACAAAGTTTGTTACTCGCCCTCCCATGGGCTGCAGTTGCTGCTCCACAGCTGCTGCTTGGGATGCTCAAACACCAGGGAATGCCACAGCGGAGCCCGTGGCGCTGGTCCCAGCTGGAGCAGGTCGGTCATGCTGTGGAGTGGAGACGGCTCTCTTGGAGATGCTGGTTGGCAGAGTAGTGYGAGAGACCAGGCAGTGCCCACCCAGAGCCCCCATGTCTCTCAGAGCGGCTGCTGTGCCTCTGCTCAGGAAATGCTACTCCTCAGGAGTGCTGCAGCAGGACCCAGGAGGAGGGACAGCGTCACACAGTGCCTTCCCCGCCATAAACAAACACTGACATTTGTTTTGTCTCGACCCAGGTCTGGGCAGTGTGGAACAGGGGCAGGAGGGGAGGTGTTTCTGGGGATAGCTTTGCAGCATCTACTCTTTTAAAACAGCACCATGTGCCTGAGTGTGTCTGTGGTGTCACCAGACACTCAGAGGGGCTGCCTGTAGCCACATGAACACAGGAACAGAAAGGACTAATTAAGACAACAAGGAGAGATCCCCAGACAATACTAAGGCCTTTAAGGGAGACTCCCTGGGGAAGTATGTTGGATGCCACTTGAGCTGGGCCAGACTGTGTGACCGATGAAGGATGGAAACCCCAGGGACTGGGGCGGGGGGGGGAGGGGGATGCCTGCTCCAAAAGGACCTGCTGCACCAGTGCCTGCATAGCGCTGCCAGGCAGGGCAGGAGAGGCTTTGTGGCCAGCCAGGGATGGAGGGAAGACAGTGCTGCAGAACACCATTGCCTTGGCTTCGTGCTTTTCACCACACTTTCTAAGTGTTCCTAAGTAAAAAGACTGGTCTAGCCTCAGCACCACGGCTGGCCAACCTGTGAGTTCAAGCAGTGTCACACCTACAGACAGGCTTTATTCAACACTCAACGATGTCACGCCCTAGTGACAAGGGCTGGTTCTTGTATCTTCTGGGACAAGATTCCAACAAAGGCACCTGGCACCTTCCTAACAGCATCCAACTCCAGGCAGAACAGGCTGCGAGAAGGAAAACCCTAGCATGGTACTCTCCAGCAGTTACGAGTGTGAGGGCTCAGGAGCAAGCTGCCTTGCTGCCCTCTCCACAGGTGGTGCCAACCCACCCACCTGGCAAGGCTGAGGGCTGCCTCACCATCAGGAAGGTGCCAGATATCCCAGAACAGCTGTCCTCTCTGTGGGCCACCTCAGTTCCTGGAAAGCCATTCTCATCTGATCACAGGAGCAAACAGGCCAGTGACATTTTGAAGGTCAAAAAAGAAACTGTCACTTCCACACAAACCAACCAGCCTGGATGAGCAGCCGGTGTTCCACAGCTTGGCACCAACCCTGCCAACCATGGTGAAAACTAGGATCCTCCCACCTAAACCTGCATTCCTGCCTAGAAAACTGCCCAGCACAAGTCACACTGCCCAGAGCCATGGTCAAAGGCCCAGCTCCCAGACAGGGCAGGGAACCTGGATCTGAAGAGGAAGAACAGCTGGGGTGGCTGCACCCCCTACATGCTGGCAAGGTCTGGTCATGACCACAGCACAAGTCTGTCTCAATTCCAAAACCCAACACCTTCCAGCCCCTCCTGCCACAGCTGGACTGGGGTGGAGAAATGCTGCTAGTGTATGAGYGGGGCCTGGAGGACAGGCCACAGAAAAAGGGCCTGGAACCACACCATGGAACCACAAGTGCAGCATCACCCACCTGTGCTGTTCTGCTCCCGATTTCACTGCCATGTTCTTAGCAGGCAACTGACTGAACTCCATGCAAGGAAGCACCAGGCAATGGAGGGTCTGAGCCCACTTACTCCAGCCCTTTTAGTATGAACTGGTTTGAGAGCTGCCCAGAGAGGTGAGCACCCCAGGGAGAACACCTCCTCCACACACTGAAATACCACTCATGGGCTGCCAAGAGGAATAACAAAATAATCCCTTCTTATTTTGCAAAAAAGTGCTTAAGAAATTCTGTACAAGGATTGCTACAGCAGTGGGCTGTGGTGGGGCGCAGGGGGGAGGATGCAAATAGTTTAGAAGCAGCAGCAGCAACATGGCTGCAGAGAAGAGGCCGAGGAGAAACTGCTACAACTATAAGCAGTGGCAGACGGTGAAATCTGATCACAGTGGATATGAGGTTCAAAACATTTCTACCAATTAACATCGTGATTTCAACTGGTGTCTGATGTCAGCTTCCCCTTCAGCTGCCTGTCGGACAAGCTATTCTCCCCATGGACCTTGCTGACGGACATCTGAAGCACGCAGGAAGCTCAAGGACCTTGTCTGGTGGAGGGGAAGCTGCTTCTTGGCAGCTGAATAAAAGGAGAAATGATTTCCAAAAACTCAGTTGGAAGAACAGCCCTTTGACCGCTGGCCGAATCATTTCTAGAAGTGACAGTGGCACAAATCCATGCATTAAAAGCATTCCTAAGAGAATCTCCAAAGCTCTCRGCTGTCACGGTGCCCAGAACAACACAGGCCAGGTTAGGCACTTGGATGAATTCAAAGTGACTAATAGAGAAGCAGGTCTGAACAAGGTGCAATACCACACGCTCAGCAGAGACCACAGCRCCCTGGGCAATGCACTTCCATGGGCCCTGCCAATTACTGCTCTAGAGATCCCTGGAAGGCAAGTGTTATTCTGCTGTCACAGAGTAACACAGGATGGAAGGGACCTGTGGGGGAAATCTCTGGTTAGATTAGGTCTTAGACAGTTCTGGTTTGATCAAACCCTTTATCTTCCCTAAATACCAGAGCGCAGCATCCACACAGAGCCCCCTCCACAGCCTTCTGCACATCAGTGTTGCAGGCCCAGAACACCAGGAACATCTACACCCGGGCATGAGTCAAAGGACGGTGGAGCCGTCCCCACCAGACTGAGGCACCCCCTCCACCAGCACTGGCTGATGGGCAGCAGTTGCTGGCACTGGCACAGGGCTGTAAAGCCCCTCTATGAAAAACAGCCTGCAACCCTTTCAGTCAAGTTCCCAAAGAACCTGMAAAGGGAAAAAGAGACGTCAGGAGGGCAGAGAATTGAGGTCCAGTGCTACCCTGTCACYTAGGGCCCTATGGTCTGTTAGATGTGCAGGAGAGCTGACAGAGATGGGACTGCTGATGGGCAGGTCCCTGAGCACAGAGCTATGGAGTGCTCATTTCCCTGGCAGGAGTCTCAGTGACACAGAGGCATTTCCAAAGCTTGCCTCTCCCTRTGGAGCAGACCTTTTGCTGGTGACCTGGGAAGGACATAGGGCAAACTGTTGTCAGAACTCAGCTCAGGGCTGGGAAAGGCASGGCAGCACGAAGSCTGGATGCTRTGCTGGATGTGGTRAGCAACAGTACAAGCCCAGTCCTTRCCTGGCAAAGACTCAAGCTGTGAAAGACAAGAGGTGATGAAAAAGAGGGGGGAGGCAGGCAGCAATGCAGCTGGGACAAGACAGTGAGGAGTAGGGATGTGGCCTGGTAAGTCGGCCTCAGGTGCTCAGCTTCCTGCTCACGCTGGAGGAAAAGTGACCTCGACCTGGATTCAGCCTTGTTGATGCACGYTGTTTTTCCCAGAGGAGGCCAAGTGCTCAGCTGGGACGTTTGCGCTGCATGAGGAAGCTYCAGAGACAGCTCTCAGTGCCCTTATAAGGGTCTGGGAACGGGGGAAGCTGCTGAGCAGCCTGACAGCAATACCACAGGCAGGAGTTCAGAGCCCTCCTCAGGAAACAGCCAAAAGAGGAACACCAGTGCAGGACTTCAAGACCTGGCATTTGAGAGCGTGGGAATGAGAAAGGTCTGAAGGAGTGGAAACAAAAGGAACAAAGCAATTTTTGGCCAGTTGACAGTGATGGAGAGCCCCTGTTCATCCAGCATCAGGTCAGGACAGAGAACTCTCTGCCAGGGCATTTTAAAACACAGAAGCAGAAGAAAATATTTCCTCTTCCTCTGCAGCCAAGCAGCGGCATTCACAGGTCAGTCTCAAACATTGCAAGCTATGATCCCTGACAGCAACTCAGAACCCAAGTGTGGGGTTCAGGGCTTGCAATCACCCCCTGAATCATAAAATCACAGAATGGATTGGAAAGGACCTTAAAGATCATCTTCTTCCAACCACCCTRCCATGGGCAGGGACACCTTCCACTAGACCAGGTTGCTCAGTGAAGGAGAGCCTACACCCTGCTCTATGTGGGTGAGAGGAGAGCCCAGATGCACCTCGGAATGCTCAGCTCTCACCCTGTCATGMACATCCTCTCCACACCAGGCTGCCTTTCTGTGCTGAGGATCAGACACTGACGCCTTTTACAAACCACTGAAATCCAACCAGGTGCTCAGGAGGGGGCTTAAACATAAGGAGCTGGGACTCCCCTGGGGAGCTCATCCCTTCAGCCAGTGTTCACAGAGATTACTAGGTCAGACAACTGATATTTTGAGCTGGTGGGAGAATGAGTGGATTACAAGCTCATTGCTGCAGAGATCTGAGCACACAGCGGTGTGCAGAGCCAGGCCCATGCCCAGCCCAACACCCTTTTTTTCCCCAAGACACCAGGTTGCCCCTTCCAGGTGACAGCAGCAGTACTAACWGCTCCAAGGAGGTGATTCTCCTGGGATCTGCAGATCCCCCATCGTGGAGCGCAGACCCATGYTCCCATCCAACAGCGTGCCCCCAGTGCATGAAGGTGACAGCAGCCATCTGCAGTGGTTCTGYAGTGCCTCCTGGGGACAGCAGAGCCTGTACTCCTTACACAGAGCTTTCACACTTGCCACACACCTTCTCACAACACCCCTGACAGCACAGCAAAGCTGCCACCCACCACAACATGGTGTCCATCTCCCCTCCAACAGCTTCACCCTCCACAAATCACAGAAAGCGACTCTGTGTTTAAGTGCTGGTATATATCCTCCCAAAACTTTTGCTTTTCTACTTTAACTCAGGCTCAAATATCCCACTGAGCTCTGGGACTGGCAGGATATAGCTAATACATTCAAACACAGCCTGTGTCTCTGTCATGGTTCAACACTGGCCAAAACCAACATTATTCTCTACCAGTATCGGGAATCTGCTCCTGAAACTCTCAGCAACAGCAAAGCAGTTACATGATGGGAAGGACACTACAATTCCTGCTAACAATTCCAGCCCTTCGGCTCTAACAGTCACAGTTCATGATCCATAGCTGCACCTGGGGTACAGGGGAGTAGAGTAATGCTGGGTGCCGAGGAGGAATCACTTCAGAGGCAAATCTCTACCACGAGTTCAGAACTTCTGCTACCCACAGAGAGGAGGMACCGAGAGACGTCAGGCAGACTTGCAGCCCCGTGACACTCCCCTACTGTTACGCAGAGGTAATACCGAAAATAGGATTAAAACTACCAGCTGGTACTTCTCCAAATTGTTTGGCATTCTGGAGACAAACAAGGGGCTATAATGCTGTTGCCTCCGAGCTGCTCAAGGGAGCCCAGACAGACTGTCACAACACTGAACCACAAAGGAATCCTGGCACCTTTCAACAAAAGACTACCTGAAGGGAGAAGGAACAAAAGCTATTAAACCCAATCCCAGAGGGATGGAGGAAGTGCATCTTCCCACAGTTCTTGGGCTATATGCACATATATGGATATATAGATATATAGATAATAAAGTTATAAAATTTGATCGAAATAAAACCAGTAAATGTACAGCTTGAAAAAGAGCAGTATCACAGTGCATCAATGTCATGAGAAAGTCCTGTGTTCTCCCCTGCACGAGAGCACAGCCTACCACGTTCAGGGGTGCATGGCAGGAAGGGAGCCCTCCRGCCTGCTCGGTTTGATGATGGCCGGAGTCACCATCCTGCGCTCCCGAACAGGGGTTTGGATTTCTGTAGCCAGTTCTGCACAGCAGTGGCAGACAGGYAGGAACAGCATGAGAGTGAGCTGCTCTGTCTGCAGGTTAGTTGGCATATTGGCACCAGAGACACAGAGTCATTCCTAAACCTCTCTGCGCTCTGGTGCCAGGCTTGTATTTATTTACCTACAAAAAAAAGTGACAAAGTGAAGAAACTCAGGGGACACTGTGAGAATGGGACAAGGGCTGAATTCGGATCACGGGGGACAGGTTGACCCTAAGAATCTTCTGTGCTCTCCTCCTCATTTCATCATCAGAGGAAGAGTTGCCCACCTTGATGGTCCGGAATTTCAGCAGGTTCAAAGTGCTCTGAGCCCGTCGAGTTTTCTTCCGGATAGGAATGCTATTTGYTTTTTTCCTCTGTGGTGCTTCTCTTGCCTCTGTAGCTCTTCTCTTCTTCTGCTCAGTGCTCTCCCGATAAGTGCTGCCGTCCTTCCACTCTGTTTTTCCCAGCAGAGCTTCCTTATCTTTGATTTTCAAGGTCCTGGGCTGCGGTGCTGTGGTGCAGCCCTGGGATGAGCCACCTTTGACTCTCCCATTGAGAACTCCCGAGGCTTTGCAGGCATTGCTCTCCTGCAGCACTCCACCCTTTGGTCCTTTCAGGTTTAAAGTGCGGGTGGCAGAATCTGGAGCTTTCTTGATGGAATGCTTGTATCCMTTGCCTTCGGTTATTTTAGTGCTCTTGCTTGAAGAAAACTGCCTCGGTGGACTTGAAGTCTTGAGGAGTTTAAGGTCTGAGGGTGAGATCCCAAGACGCCCTCGTGTATATTTAGATTCCAAACAGGACGTTGTGGTTTTCAGTGGCACCAGGGCTTCCAGAACCACTGACAGTCTCATGGCTGGATACACATCAGGATACACGCTTGTAGGAAAGCCCACTGCTGTCGCCTTGGATGTGCTGGATCCTGTCTGCTTCAAGGAGCTCAAGAGGAGATTWGTGGAATCCCCTTTGGAGACTGGCTGAGTGGAGACTTTCAAAGAGCTCACTGGAACGCTGGTGGGTGAAGGGGACACCCTGGCCACCGAGTTCCTGACAGGACTCTGAGAGGACTCAGCGGCGCTGGCGCAGTTGTGCTGTGTGTTTTCTTTYGTCTGACTCGGTGTGTCTGCCGTGCACGAGCTGTACCCGTACACATCCTTACTCCTCAGAATTGTGGGCTGGTAGCCCTCCTCCTTCAGGCCCTGGATGAAAGCCACCAGCTGGGTCTCTGTGTCTGAAAGGTCCTTGGACATTGGGTTGAAGACTCGGAGGGCTTCCTCCAGCACTTTCTGTCCTGCAGAGGAAATTCTTGACCATGAATGGACAGCTTTTTCTTCCTCATTGTTCACTGCAATATTCATGGCATTAGGCAAGCAGGTACTTCCMAAAGGTCCAAATTACTGGAAAAACAACCCTTGATACCTCAAAAGGAGAAAGAAGACAGTTAGCTTACAGCAACTGAAATTATCCCAAGTTTTTAAGATGGGATCTGAAACCATGAAGCCCAAGGCGTGGCTAGTCACAAATATCAGGTCAGATTCTGGGCACAACCCAAGACAGAAGCATCGTCAAGAAAATCTTGTCACTGATTTATCTCTGAAATAAAACTAAAACATTTCTCACAAAAATATCCTCCAACCTAAACAAAGATTTCAAGAAATCCCATTCAATCCACCCCAAGATGAAGGATTCCAATGATTAACTCAGCAAAATCTGCCGCTCATTGCCAATCGAGTTTGACCCACCCTGGCTTTGGGTAATCACATCTCATTTTCCCTGGATAAAGCAACCCCTCACTGAACCCTCTCCCTGGGCACATCAAGAGCAGCACCATCAAGCCATCTCAACACTAAGAAGAAGCCTGAGCATTTCAGCTTCATCGCAGCGTCACCTTCAATTTCTCAGATTAACTGATGCTGCTCAAAAATTGATTCTGAGTCCCTGCCAAAGCTGCAGCTTCCTCCTGGAGACCTGGCAGCAGGGCTGGAGGCTGTTCCAGTTGTGCTTCATTGATGCCGAATACTGTGGCAAGGCAGCACTGCTCCTTGCTGTTCCCTTGTTTGAACAATGRTCCACAACTTGCTGTCACAGCAATCTGGTGTTGATCCAAGGACACTTGCTGCCAAGTGAGGAGGAAGCAGGAAATTCAAGCAGGGCAGTATGAAGGAAACACACATCACCAGGGCCAAGAGTACAAAGGCCCGAAGGACAACACTGGGATCACGCTCAGGGCACTGCACAGCTGCCCACCCAGCATAAAAGCATCAATTATTGGTTTCAATAAAAAACAGGCACTGAAGGGCAGTCCAGGCAGGACCTTAGGATGCACCCGGGAGAACTCTGATCCTGGTGGCCTCACAGCTCCGCAGCTGGATGCTGCACTGACAGGGCATAAAATCTTTAGCTTCACTGATACCACTCAAAATGAAGATCCAGTTTAAAACCCTTTTCAGGGAAACACAGGGGGTGTCAGAGACACTTTTGGAGAGGGAAGTGCACAGGCAAGAAAGCTGTGATGGAGAAGTTGGTGTCGGAGCAGACAGAGCAAGGAACTACTCATGTCCCATGTTCCCCCCAGAACTCTGGTTTCATCACAGCACCAGAGCAGAGCCCGTGCTGCCGCCAGCTGCACAAGCAGGGAAGAGACACAAGGCAAGAGCAGCCACAGAAGGGAAAGCACAGGTCAGTGGGGGAGTAAGAACCTCCACATGACAGACTAATCTCAGTCAAGTGCTCTGCAGACGTCATGGCCGAAGAGGGATTTGGAGGAGGATAATGCAGTTGTTCATGGCAGGCAGGGGATCTCTCACAGAGGAGGGGAAGCAGGCAGGGAGGCGATGCCACAGAGCYCCAGTCAGCATCAGCAGCCAGCGGCAAAAGTCACCACCTCCAAAGTGACCAAGCAGTGCCAGGCACAGGGAAACCAGAGAGGGTGTAACATTAATCATGGTCTGGTAGTGAGGCAAAGACCAATGAAGAGGCACAAGTAACAACATGTGCTCAACAGGCTGCAAAATGGATCATCTTCAGGCTGCAGCAAGCCCAGGAGTAGCTGGGACACCTGAAAGGGTCTTCTGGCTGTGACATTTCATGGGAATAGAACTTCCCAACATCCATCCGCTTGGTCCTGTTTGATGCAATGCCAGCCGTATTGGAGAAAAGCCAGTCACGAGTAAACACACCCTCGGACAGTCTGTCCTCCCGACAGCAGGTTACCTCACTTGACACACTACTGGGGGGCCAGGGGKCTACGGGAACACAGCACTCCCGGCACGGTGCAAGCACAGCACCGGCAGGGCAATGCTTGCTCGGGTTTGAGGTCCGGCTGGCCGAGCTCGGAAAGGGCTCTCCGGGTACACCGCAGGGGGAAGTGGCTGCCGGCAGGACCGAGACGCGGGGTTGGGAAGCCTGTGGAGCTGGAGGCCGGTGCGCTGTCCCAAGGAGAGCTTGGTGGAGCCGCCAAGGCCCCGCTCAGCCTCTGTTTTCGGCCCGCCCCTCGRCGCAGGCGATGCCCCTTCCCGAGCGCCCGTCCCTCGCTCCCGCRGCACCCTCCCCAAGGCTCGGCCCGCCGGCCGGAGAGATCCCGGGGCGGGATGCCCGCCTAGGCCGGCCCCTCCCTGCGGGGCTACGGGAGGTGATTGGTGCAGACAGGGGGTGCGGCCCCGCGCTCGGCCCGCGCCGG